ACTTGTGAAAGACTACAGTACTTTTTAATAATATTTCTGGGTTAAAAATGAGCTTTTTAACAGCAATGCTACATACCTCCATTTCACTGACTTTCTTATACCCAGGAAAAGAATGTTTTTTGTTGCCTTGAATTTGACCTAGGAGTGAAGGTGGGGCTCTTCACTATGGTTGGCATTCTCTTATTTTGTCTGCATACCTAGAAATGTCAGGGTCAAAAAATGCAACCTGAGTAACCATCATTTTGGTGCTAGTCTATTGTTTTTTGTTGGTGTACAACTATAAGCCTGAGGATATGTTCACAGGCCACTAGAGCCCTCAGCATCTGCAAGGCAGTTCAGAGGTCCAGACACAGTTATGCATCTGGATGCCCACAATAGTAATGGAGGGGCACTGCTCCCTATTGCAGCCCCTAGCCACTGACCTGCCCCACTCTTGCCCCACCATTTCCCAGAACACACAGCAATAATTTGCACATAGGCAGCTGCACAGAGCCCTTCAAACACACACGGGAAAGCAGAAACTGCCTGTGTAAGTATCCATGTTAACCCGGGCCAGGAACAGCTGTGTAGACAACTAGAGGAAATTGTTATTTTTCTGCCGTGTGGGCATCTCCACCTCTTGATATCCAAACTGTCCTCCTCATGCCCACTCTTCACCTTCCTCCTCACCCCCTGCCCATTTTCAGATGTGTATATTCTGGATGATGACAGTCTGAGATTGGCAAGCAGGATCTAAATGGGCCTGCAGTCTGGCTTCATTCAAAACTCCTTTATGAGGAGACTGAAAGGCAGGTTCAGAGCACAGATGATCAGTGGAGTCTATCCAAAAGAGGTGGATGGATTTGAGATGGTGAAGAAGGTTGCAATGGGGAGCTTTGACTAGGACGGGGTCATTAGATCTATGGAACCCTATGTCCAGAGCTCTCCACGGTCATCCTGGCAGAGGCCAGCAGTGTTAGTAGGTTGATGCCTTGGGGAGAGCTGGGAAGTGGAGTAGGTACACTATAGCCCTGGCAGTGGTCTTATGCTTCAGTTTCATAGATGTTAGGGTCAGAAGGGACCTCAGTAGGTTATCGAGTCCAACCCCTGCCCTGGGCAGGAAAGAGCACTGGGGTCAAATTACCCCAGCTAGGTGCTTGCCCAGTCCCCTCTTGAAGACCCCCAAGATAGTAGAGAGCACCGCTCCAGATTCTGGCAACCCTTACTGTGAAGACTTTCTTTCTAATGCTCAACCTAAATCTGCTCTCCGTTTCCCTTCTGGGCAAGGAGTCCAGCAGGTGGCATGTGTTGGGCATGGTTGTGGAGCATCCTGTATAGAAGCACAGCTTTGTGAGAACATGGTCTGCCCTGCTCCAGAGCTCTCCTCTTTTCCTTTCCCCTGCCCATGTCTCAAGACCCCCACCCCACTACCATGATGCCTTTCTACCAGTCACCCTTTGGGTTCCCTCACAGGTTCCTGCTCCCATCTTGCTAGATGCACCTGGTTCCTGACCCCTGTCTGCATACATCCAGGTCTTTCCCCGCTTCCCCCAGATTGTCCTAAATTCTCCTCTATTCCCTAATAATCCCCTGCACCCTCTTGCTCTCTAAAGCTAGATTGAGTGCCATAAGTTTAACTATAGCTAATCTCCTTGGGGTTTCAAGGCAGGCATTGAAAAGTTGCAGAGATCTTGGTGGTGCCCTGAAGCATGCAGCCTCCTAGGCATCACAGTCAGTGGACCACACAGCACCCCCTGCATTTATCAGGGGAAGATCCAAAGAGGGTACAAAGGTATAGTTGGATCCCTCTTTCAGACCACACCATGGGAGCAGCAGTTTCCAAAGCATGTAAGAATCTCTCCCTGCCCTTCTCCTTTGTCCTCAGTAGCACCTCTCCTCCCATTCTCCACTTCCCTAGCCTGCTGCTTCTACTCTCCTTGTACTCCCCAGTTGATTGGGTGGGGTAGCCCCAGAGCTGCTCCTTGCTTCCATCTGGAGGGACTGGGCAGAGAGAAGAAGCCTACCTGCTGCCCATCCCCCTGGATCAGCCAGGGATAGCAGCAGCAGCAGCAAGCAGTGGAAGGGATGTGCTGCTGAGGATGGAGAGCAAAGAAGCTGGTGCCAAGAGTGGGGAAGGCAGGATTTTTATCCTATTTAAAGACTTAAAAACAGTTACCGCTTCTGTGGTGCAGTCTGCTAGCCTTGGTATTGGGGCTGGGGGGGGGGGGGGGGGGGGGAAGGAGGAACCTGGGAGCAGGGATTTGGACCACAGAGTCCTGGCTGCATTCCAGAGAAGCCCCTTGCCTTGCATGTGTTGCAAGAGCAGTGCAGTTTGGGATGCCTGGAGGAATGACCAGACACTAGGCATGGAATGCTGTATCCACACATATCATTAAACCAGTTCACAGAGGACCAGCTCAAAATAGTACTTGGTTTTTTTGGTATGCTTACAAAACATTCCAGGAAGTTTAAGCCGGTCTTAAGTGGCACGTACTTCTAGACTTGGGGTATATTTAGAATGTTCAAAGCATTACATCTGTCCCTGAAGGTCTTGAGAGAAAAACAGCTTGGGCTATTGGCTATGTTGAAAGCTTCCTGATATCTGGCGTAGACATTGTGGCCCAAGAACTCCTACTACTGTATTGTAGCTAACTACTAACTGCCGTTTTGTTTAAGAAGAGCTGCCTGCTTCGCTGCATACGACTTTGGGTGCTCTCCATCCCCTTCAAAAGGTAAAGTCCCTCTCTAGAAGCTAAGCCAGAATGTAGCTCTCTGGGGCCATGGATAGCCAGGGATGAAAGACCCAGAAGACCTGGTCTCACAGTCCAAGGAATAAAGGACTCACCCACTTTAGAAGCTATGCCTGGGCTAGCTTCCAAAGATACTCAGTGAAACTGAAGTGACGCTGTGGGTCCCAAGCAAGAGATCCTCCAAGGAGATCATGACAGCAGCATGGAGATTTTCTCAAATTAACAATGGCAGTATTAATCAATGATCCAGGCTTTTATAGGATGTCCATCAATGTATGAATAGGTGGCTTAATAAACTCCGCCAGTGGAAGATCTAGGTGTTTGGCAAATGATCCAGAAATCACACAGCACCCTTGACTGAGGAAGGGTATAGAACCAGTGTTTCAGAGCAAAAGAAAGCTTGCTTGAACATTACCATCCTGACAGTGGTGTCAGAGAGACAGGATGAACCAAATGATGAGTAGACATGCAACCTGAAGCAGTACAGTAGGAGGACACTGACTCCGCAAATTGAATGAGTCAATTAATGCCTGTAATCAGCAGGGGATTGAAAGCCCCAAGGCCAGAAAGGCAAGGTAAGATGGGATGGGAGAAACCCACTGAGTCCATTATGTTTTGAAATGATGAAGTAATGCCTATTACTATGCCAGCACTTCTTAATTTCAGGATCTCAGGAGATGGAGCCAACTGATCTGATGACGCAGAGCCTGATGTTCCAATGCCTCGATCTCTAGGAGTTTTGGGATGGTCTTTCACAGCTCATGAGGACTAAAAGTAATGAGCAGCTTCCAGGAGAAGTGAATGGACTTGTTTGAGACCTGGCTTGGAGACCACAGTGGGGACTGAGATCTAGACCAGTGCACTTATATCAGTTTCTGTGGCACCAGAGACAATGGGTGCTTCTGTGAATAAGTTGTGATGGACAAGTGTTGATGCCAAGAGGTATTGCTGGAGCGAGATCCAGATTTGGTCCGAGTAACTTATCATGAAGAAACATCTCCCTCTCCTTCCTAATTTGTGGTCCAGCGGGCAGCAGCTAAGGACTCATGTTAGGCATATGCGAGTCCCAAATAAAGGCACCGGGAATGGATAATGTGAATAAGTTCTGTACAAGAGGGAACATTTCCAAAGTTAGGAGACTTCATTTATGTCATCAGAAGTGCTCCCTGGCTAGAAGGAAGCTAAAATGGGAAAAAGCTTTAAAAAATAAATAAATAAATAAATAAATAAATAAAAAATGGCCTTGTCTTTAAAAAAAAAAAAAGGGTCCAAGAAGACACTGTGTGGAAGAAGAAGCATTAGGAACAAAGCAGGAGAAGGGGGAGGCAAAGAGCATTAAGGCCTCCATCTCACATATAAGAATCCTGCACCCTTAAATTAAGAGGAGAGAGATAATATTACAAAAGAAAAGTGCAAACTAAGGGAAACGGGCAGGTCAGCCTCAAATGAGAAGTAGGTATTGACCAGCCAAGTGCTCCATACCAGCTGGGCAGAAGAGAGGAAGTGGAAAGTGCATGCCACCATTTATCCCCTCAGGGATATGGGGCTCCAGCATGCTTTACTTGTTCTAATAAAGCAAAAACCATTTCCAGTCAGGGACTAAGAATACCCACAACTGAAAAGTGTGTGTGTGTGTGTGTGTGTGTGTGTGTGTGTGTGTGTGTGTACATACTCCAAGGAGAACAAAAGGGTCTGCTTCCCTCCTGTTCTCTTGTCTGTGTATATCAGAGGAGCAAGTTCCCCTCTGTCAACAGATGCCAAAAAGAGATAGGGAGAGGAGGTGAAAGGGTTCATTTCATCCTACCCAGGAGGTCTGACTTTAGAAATAACGCGGCATGCTGGACTGTGCCAGCAGCATCTCCTGGAAAGGGAGGACAGAGACAGAGAAAATGCATTCCTTCTGAGAGGCATGACAAAGCATAATTCAAGGTGTCCTGGCTGGCTCTTTAGTGTTGGAAGTTATAATTTAGAGATACTCCCTAACTCAGATGACTGAGGAATTTGGGAATTGGGAGACCATCCCTTAGAGACAGACAAAAGGTCTGCAGGAGCTTACTTTCTGTTTCACGATAAAAGTTGGCGTATAGTTCTTAGTCATGCCCGATTGTTTATTAAACCTGGTGAGAACTACAGGCTCCTCATTTCCCCACTCCCTCCCATCCCAAGCACAGTGACCTAACAGATACAATGACCCCAAAATGGAGTTTGAGATGGGCGACAGCAGCTTGCATAAGAGTGCCCAAGTGAGTGCAGCAATCTTCAATCTCTCACCTTGAAGTTCTCAAAGAAGCCACCACTTCCATTTTCCATCTTGTCATCCTCCCCAGAGGCCAGGCCCATCATGTTGCGGCTGCGAAGCTGCAGCTCCTCAAAAAGACTCTCCAAGAGGGCACTGCGGGTGCGCTCCTGTACCAGGAACAGAGACAGAAGAGTGGTAAGGAAGAAAGAAAGTAGAACAGACAGAGGATCTGGAACCTCTAGTGTGGTAGACATGATTGAATACATTTCACTTTCTCTACTGGAAGAATTGTATTTTCTTTGTCCTTTCTATAACTTCCTTGTTGTCCTCCAAAGCTGAAGGTAGATATACTACTGTCTTAGACAAATTTTTTGCATTAATTTCCTCATTTTTGTTTATACTTTCCAAATGGCCTTAAGAAAAACCTAGGAAATCACATTTAAAATAGGTGATAAACAAAACATTAAGAATGGGTTGTCTGTCCCGTACCAAGTCAATACACGTCATGTAATAACCAGGGATCTGGGTTTTCTGTTTGCCATGAAAAAAAAAAAAATGCAGAAAAATGCAGATATTCCCCTTTAAAGGAGAAAAGCTTGGGAAGCTGTGGGTTTCCCCTTGCAGGCTGACAGAGGTCCTGCCTGCAAGGAGCTGCTCAGGGCTGGGGGGGGGGGGGGGGGGGGGGG